TGAAGGAGGAGTGCAATTTGTCCTTGGGAAGTTGACCCCAAGACAGAGAATGTGTGATTAGAGGCTGCATCAGGCGATGCCATTCCTGGAGTGGGTGAGACAGTTTAAAATGCCTGGTGCCTCTAGGAAAGCGAGGTTAGTCAGGCATGGTGGAGAGAAAGGAGGACACACAGCTCAGAACCTCCTCCTGGGCCTTCTGCGGGGATGCAGCGGGGAGCGGGTGGCGATTCAGCCAGCCGGGCGTTCTGGAAGCCCTCAGGCTCCCCAGCTGTCACCCACGATGCTTTTGTCCCCGGCTTCCTGGCAAGGAGGGCAGGCAAGGAGACAGAGATGGGGAGAGCAGGGCTCACACTACTGAAGAGGGACCGCTGGGTGTTTGAACGAGGGTTTCAGCCAATCCTCACAGTAACCCGGACCTGCGTTCTCCCATCGCACCTCCGTCTAACTCCCCCCCGCCCCGCTTTCTCCCTTTCTTTCTCTTTCTGCCTTTTCTTTCTTTATTCCTTCCTTCTTTCCTTTCTTTCAACTACCACTGCCTTTCTAAAGATGGGAAAATGTGACACTAACAAACAAAATGGCCATGGCCTAGGCTGTCATGCTGTGAGGGAAAAAGTGAAGTGAAAGTGTTAGTCGCTCACTCTTTATGACCCCATACACTGTAGCCCACCAGGCTCCTCTGTCCATGGGATTCTCCAGGCAAGAATACTGGAGTGGGTTGCCATGCCCTCCTCCAGGGAATCTTCCCCACCCAGGGATTGAACCCAGGTCTCTCGCACTGCAGGCTGAGTCTTTACAATCTGAGCCTCCAGGGAAGCCCACCTCATGCTGGTGGAAGCCCAGTTCAGCTCTGGTCAGTGTGACCTCAGGCCCCACCAAGGTGCTGGTGACAAGAATCCCCCGTGGGCAGGGCGGAGGCTCAGCCTGTGGACAGGCGGCCTCAGATTTCCGTCTCCTGGCCCAAAAACTCTTAGGAAGCTCAAAGGCCTGAGTGTTGGTCACTGGCAGCTTCTGGCATGCCCACTTCCCAGGAAAGAGGGACTGGGTGTGCAGGAATGTCCAGTCTTCAGGCCCTGCCTGCCTCTCTTTCCTGGGGGCCAGGCAGCTGAAAGAGCCCCAGCCTGCTGCGCAGAACTCGGGACGCAGTCATCCCTTGCCATCTTCGTGGCTGAAGGACTGAGCAAGTCTCAACCTCTGGGGGCTGGGCCCGGCTCATCTTTAAAGCAGGATAAGCTGGCTAAAGGATCCTGTTTCCTCTTCCTCCCCCATGGATAGACACACACACACACACACACACACACACACAGGCAGGCCCCTTTCACGTTTCTCACTTCCCTATGTGTATGTACATATACTTACTAAAATACCTATATATCGATCCTGTGACTTTATCATTTCCACTAAATGATGTCTTAGAGATCTCTCCAGGTCAGGAACATAGTTCCACCCCATTCTCCTAAAAAGATGACTTCCTTTTCCCACATAATGGAACCCCTTCCCATCTTGGATTGCCAAGCCCTTGGGTGAACATTCCTGTGTTGGCCTAGCATTTCCACAGGAGATTCTTTCTTGGCCTAGCATTTCTACAGGAGATTCTTTCTTAGTCGTGGGATGGCTGGGCCCCAGAGCATGCAGTTAAAATTCTGAGACTGCTAAAGCAACTGAGAAGGCTCCAGAACTAGGTTATTTCTAAAACTGTCTTTGACTTCCAGCAGGGACAATTGCTTTGACTTCTTGCAGGGATGGGGTAATGCTGTTAGCAGAGTCCTTTAACCTCCTTGGGCCTCAGTTTGCTCACCTGTAAAATGGGAAACCTACAATAACACACATGCAGGTGCTCTGGATTTTCCTGTTGAAATGTGAGGGGTTAATATTGCCCTCAAAATCGGGAGGCTCAGCAGTTGACACACAACCTCTATGATGCACAAAGTGGAACCAGGGGCCTGGGTAAGAAGGATGCTCTCCTAAGGTCAATCATCCGTTATGAGTGGAGTAGCTAAGTTAGATCAGCAGTTCTCAATGTGAGGAGGGGGATTTTGTCCCCCAGAGAACATGCTTGGAGACGATTTTAGTTGTCGTCACTAGAAGCGGTTGCGACTGGCTTTATGGGTAGAGGGTTAAGGATGATCTCCACACCCTACAAGGCACTGACAGCCCCCCTCCCTACCCCTTGCAACACAGAAAGATCGGGCCCCAAATGGCAACACTGTTGATTAAAAAAAAGAAAACCCTGTTCAGACCTCTCTCTTATCTGATGCCTAGCCCCTCCCCCCACCAACAAGCCCATTTCAAAGATGAGGAAACTGAGGCCCAGAGAGGCAGATGACCTGCCCAAGGTTGCCCAGCCAGCGGTAACGGAAGTGGAACCCGGCTCCATCTGGCTTTAGGGTATGGGGTGCATGCCACATCCTGTACCATCTCTCTGGGAAGACACCATCCTAGTCTCCAAGCAAAAGCAGACTGTTCGCTGCTTGACAGATGATCTACATTGTGAGTCATAAGTCTTACCTAAAAGCATAAGCTCCCTACCCAGGTCTAGAGGTTTTATGACTTGTCATAATCACTGCTTCCCCTCACTTGCCATATGCTATGTACTTTACCAAGACGAACTCATCTTACCCTAATAAGGACGCTAAGGGAACTAGTTGCAGAGAGGTTAATAATTTCACCAACACACATACGAAGTAGCAAATCTGGGCTCTGACCCTGAATAGAGGGGCGGAGATGGATCCCTCAACCCCCATTGCACTACGCTTCTCCCTTATACTGTGAACTTTCTCCTTGGCACCTTGAACTTGGATCCCTGCTCCAACTTGGAGCACTGCCAAGCCCTCAGCTGGAGGCAGGGGGGAGTCCCCACCTCAAGACCCTCCCATCTGTAGGGACTGGGTTGCTGCTGCTCCGTGGGGGTTCAATGCCTCAGGAAAAGAAGTAGGCTCTGAGCTAGGATGGGAGATGGCAGCAGAGAACTTGGGGTCACAGGGAAAAGGCAGGGATGGAGAGGGAGGGGCCCCTGGGGGGAGGGGCTGTGACTTCCCTTGCGGGGGTGGGGGGGTGCTGTCCAAAGAACCTGGAGCAAGCCTCGCCTGCAACACATACTCCGGCAGCAGCATGGGCTCCAGACTAATACACCTGATCTCACTTGCCATCCTGAGTCTATCTGGATTCTGGCAAGCCTAGATTTGGCAGCTGGCTCAATAAAACGATGCCATGGGCTGAGTGGGGAAGTGCAGGGGCCCAGGAATAGATTCTGTGCAGTGGCCTGCTGGGGGACAGCACCGAGTTTCAGCTGTGTCCCCTCCTAGCTGCGTGACATTGGCAGAGCCTCTGCACCACCTCTGACGAGTTGGGGAGCCTGGTGCCCAACTGCCTTGGTTCTAAATGTGAGGACGGGAGGTAGTATTCCGGACCCACGAGTCCCAGAGAGGCTGTGACCAGCTTCACCACCCACTGGCTGGGTGACCTTGAGCAAGTCTCTTCCCATCTTGGTGCCCCTGCTTGCTCAACTGTCAAATGAAGGAGCAAGATCTTTGGTCCCGAGTCCCTGGGAGGTCTAAGGTCTCCAGATCGCACCATTTCTCTCTTTTCGGGGCTGACCTCTTTGGGCGTCTGGGACACACACTTCTCCTTTCTCCACCTCTCAGCTGCAGCTCCAGAGCAAAGCTCCTTGCTTTTTCTCCTGTGCTGCCACCCCCTACTCTGACCGGCAGGATCAAAGCAGCTCCCTGCCCCCGTCAGGTCACCACCAACCTGTCCCTTAGTCCAGCTTCATCAAAGCCAGTCCGATGGATGTCTCCTGCAGCATCTCTCTTGGCTAAAGGCCTAGGGAATTCCTCCGGGCAATGCCCACAGGAGCTAGGAAGGGGGAGCCCCAGGAGGCAAATGGGGGCCCTTCTCTCTGCATGGACACCCTCTTCTCCAGGAGAGGGGTTGGTCTGTCTCAGGGGAGGATATTTGGAACACAGTCCTTTGTGTATGTGTGTGTGTTTGTTGCGGGGGGGGGGGGGGCGGTCCTCACTGGTCCTGCTGCCTCAGAGGCCATCTCTGGTGGCAGTTTGGAGGCTCCGGGAACGATCTCTAGGCTGAGGAGCCCAGCTCTAAAGGTTTCAGTCTGTTCTTGTCTCTGGCCATGGTGGGAGAGGAAAGGAGAGATGGGATTAGGTGGAGTAGAGAGGTGGGAGGGATGGGACAGGGTAGGGGGGTGGTTAATGGGATGGGATTGTGCGAAAGGGTTACAGAGGGGTGGGGTGAGCTGTGTGGCTTGGTCCAGACGGGTGACCGAACCCTTGCCCTGTTTCTGAATGTGAAAACCCCTCCTCTTACATCTTGAGAAAGAGGAGTAATCTCCCAAATGCCTTAAGTGTGAAGGTGTTCGAGGCAATCAACCTTCTCTCTCTGATGGATGAAGAGGAGTTGGGGTGGGGGGAGATAGGGAATTGAGTCTAGTTTCTGAGTTGGGGGGTGTGTGTACAGGGAGGTCTGTATTGGACTTGAGGGTTACATGCAGAGTCTCTGGCCAGCGATATCGTTCTCTTAGGGAGGGGCTTATTTTCCCTCCTGGAGGAAGCACCCCTTTATCTCCGAGCTGAGAAGGGAGGGTGGGGAGAAGAATCCAAACTTAGTTTTTTAGGGACGGGGGAGAGGCATGCGTCTCCAAAGAAATGATGGGCCCTAGAAACCCGGGGAGGCTGGAACCCACTTTGGGGGCGGAGGGAAGCACGTTCCATTCCAAGGGGGAATGTGGGGAGACCAATCTTATTTTTAGAGCCGGGGGGCCAGGAAGGAAGGGCCCATTTCCGAAGGGAAAAGGAAACTATTTTGTTCTCTGGACGGTGGCCGGCTCTCTCTTTTCGGGGGAGCGGGACCCGCGTCTCAGAAAGATGAGGGCTCGATCTCTTAAGAGAAGATGCCCCGTTTTTGCTCCCTGGCGGGCAGGGCCGAAGGATTCCATCTCACCTCGCGCGCAAGGGCTCGCCTCACGCGACCAGGCGCCTGGTCCTTACCTCCAGGCCTCTGCTCCAACGTGCGGACTCCGATCCGCCGGGCTCCGACTTGAGCGATCCGCGCCCTGCGCTCCGGCGGCGCCCGGTCTCTGCCCCGCTTCCCCCAGCGACTCGCCGGGCTCTTGGACGCCGCCGAGCCACGCTAGCCAATCAGCGCTGCGGGTCCCGGCCCTCGCGCGCGCCGCCGCCAATGAGCGCGCCCGCCACGGGCCACCGCCCCCGGGAGGGCGGGGGAAGGCGGGCCGGGGGCAGAGTCCGGCCTCCCGGGGGCGGAGGAGCCGGGGGCCCGGGGGTGGGACCGCGAAGGCCGGGATGGAGGAGCCGGGTTGTGACCGCGGCGGCGAGGAGCCTCAGCCGAGCTGGGGTGTGGGGAGTCCGTCTCTGAAATGGGGGGGTAGAAGGGGAGGCTCTATAGGCTGGTTTAACCTAGACCTTAATTGCCCCCTGCCCCTTTTCTGGATACTGGGGTCTGCGGACGTGTGTAACTGCTCCCTCTGCACCATGCGCCTTGGATCTCGGGCTCCGGAAACCTAGATTCAGAGTTAGACAAGGTTCCGTAAGAAAGGGAGGGAGGAAGAGCATAGGGTCCCCCTCCGACTCCCTCGTCCCCCACGCACACCCTCCCTCCGTGCAAGTGCTCAGGGCCTTCTCGCTCTCAGCTCCCAGCTAGTGCATCCTTGGGGGCAGTGCAAAGATCACTGGACTAGCAGTCCATGCTTCCTGCTGCACGTTCTCGGGCAGGTCACTCTGCCTCTCTGATCCTCAATAGTGGAGACAGCGGTGATAACACCCCCTTCATGAGCACAAGTGAGAGGGTAGATATGATGAAGCTGCCTTCACAAAAATTAAAGTGCTGTATGAAAACTAGATAATACTAAAGGGTGAATGACTCCTAACCCAGTAGCTTTCTAAAGGTATTTGGAAAGAGGATGCAATCGTTCAATGGTAAAATCAAAGACACAGGAAACTACCCATCAGAACAACAAGAGCTCACCAGTGCTCATGATGAATAGCTGTTTCAGAATTCAAAATGCCAGGAAAGAATACAGCTTGGGTTTCCCCACTCAGCGTGATCAGGTAACTATTTCCTCTGTCTTTTTGCATCTTGCAAAACCCTGAGGTCCTGCCTTCCATGAATCCACGCGGCCCGGTCTCTGATCAGGTGAGCAGGACTATAGTCCTGGGAATTAAGATAAATATAAAGAAAAAAAAAATGGGGCTTCCCAGGTGGCTCAGTGGGTAAAGAATTCACCTGCAATGTAGGAGACTCAGGTTTGATCCCTGGGTTGGGAAGATCCTCTGGAGGAGGGAATGGCAACCCACTCCAGTATTCTTGCCTGGAGAATCCCGTGGACAAAAGAGCCTGGTAGGCTACAGTCCATGGGGTGACAGAGTTGGACACGACTAAACCAACTGAGCACCCCAAAGCAAACGAATACGTTTAAAAACTGCCAAACAAACCACCTGCCCTCAAGTGTGGTCTGTGACTACAGGGACCAAAAGAAACAATAAGTAAGAATAGTACAAAGGAGGGCTTCCCTGGTGGTCCAGTGGCTAAGAATCTGCCTGCCAGTGCAGGGGACATGGGTTTAATCCCTGCTCTGGGAAAATCCCACATGCAGAGAGGCAACTAACACCGTGGACAACAGCTACTAAAGCCTGCGAGCTCTGGGGCCTGGGCTCCAGAATGAAAGAAGCCACCCCAGTGAGAGGCCGGTGCACCACTCCTAGAGAGCAGCCCCAGCTCACTGCAGCTAGAGAAAACCTGAGTGCGGCAACGAAGATCCAGTGCAGCCAAAAAGAGGAGTAACACAAAGGAATCGCTGGAAAATAGCATGAACCACAGTTCTGCTAAAAGCGAGAGCTTTGCCAGTCCCTTTGGTATGCTGATGCTGTCACCTTGCAGAACTTTATGAGGCCTGGGTTAGAAATTTTTCCTTAAAACCCAAGCCATGCAGATAATCCCTTTTACTGTCCAAAGAAATAAAATGGTCAGTAAATATGGAAGGGAGGAAGGTTTGCCAAAGAAAGACAAGTTAAAGAGATAGAAAATTTCATTTACCAAAATGGCCTCGTTTTTATTATTATAACTAGCACTATTTGTGGAGGTTTCAAGGAAATGGACAATTTCGTAAATTGCTGTAGGGAATATCAATGTTCAAAGCCTTTCTGGGAAGAAGCTGAGTATTCCTATTCAAAAAATCTGAAAAATAAGCTTACCCTTTGACCTAGCAGTTAAATCTCTATGAATTTATCCTAAAACAATGAAAGGTGCTAAAGTTTAGTGATAAAGTGGTTTACTGTAATTTTGTTTCTTGTATCAAAAAACTGGAAACAACTTCTAAGTACTTATAAGTACAACAGGGACTCAGAAAGGACATCTGTTGCATGAAATTAAAGTGAAAGTGAAGTCACTCAGTCGTGTCCGACTCTTTGCGACCCTGTGGACCTACCAGGAGCCTACCAGTCTCCTCCATCCATGGGATTCTCCAGGCAAGGGTACTGGAGTGGGTTACCATTTCCTCCTCCAGGGGATCTGCCCCACCCAGGGATTGAACTCACATCTCCTGCATTGCAGGTGGATTCTTTTACTGCTGAGCCACCAGGGAAACCCCTGTCTATCACACTGGAGAGCACCAATATAGATGATATATAGATCAATAGACTGAATGAAATAAGTGCCCACTAGTAGAAGTAGTTATTTCTGCATGTTAAAATTGTGGATGACTATACTTTTATCTGTATGTTACTAATTTCTAATTATTCTATATAACAAAATATATATATATATACACACACACACATTGCTTTTGTAAGAACAAATAGTTAACATGAGAAACAAAAAGCAAAAGTGTAAGTGAAATGCAACCCACCATCAGTTTACAAGACCCGCAAGCTATAAAGTCTATAAAATGGGGTTTACACTGTAAATGGTAGGAGAAAAAAATCAAAAGAAGAATATTTTGTATGGCAAGAAGATCGCATAAAATTCACATTTCATTGTGCATGAAGTTCTACTGGAACATAGCTGCACCCACCGACTTCTGGAGGCCTGTGGCTGTCTTTATGCTACCATGGCAAAGCCGAGGAGCAGTTGCGACAGAGACCGTACAGCCTGCAAAGCCAAAAATATCTACCATCTGGCGTTTTCAGGAAGTTTGCCAAGCCCTGGTCTAAGGCAATGGGGGGAGACAAAGTGGGTGGCGGCGTCTTCATTCATCTGTTCATTCATTCATTCGTCTGCGTTTGGAGCATCACTGCAGGTTAGGGCCTGACGCAGGACATTCAGGAGGTGCTGCGTTGTTTCTGCTTTGGGGAGCCTGTGAGAAGGATATTTAGAGCCAGGTGCTTTGCAAGCTGATTCTCAAATAGCTTCACTGTGACACTTGCGAAGAAAGCTGTGGGCAGGTGGAGAAAGCCCTGCTCACCTTAGCTTTGCTTGCATTTCCCACAGCCCCACGGTTTTCCTGTGGGGCCGCTTGGGGCTCCAGGTGTCTTCCAGGGGCTGACTGAGATCCAGTTGCTAAGTCGTGTCTGACTCTTTGTGATTCCATGGGTTGCAGCATGCCAGGCTTCCCTGTCCTTCACCAACTCTTGGAGTTTGCCCAAACTCATGTCCATTAAGTCAGTGATGCCATCCAACCATCTCATCCTCTGTTGCCCCCTTCTCCTCCAGCCCTCAATCTTTCCCAGCATCAGAGTCTTTTCCAATAAGTCAGTTGTTCGCCATCAGGTGGCCAAAGTATTCGAGCTTCAGCTTTAGCATCAGTCCTTCCAGTGAACATTCAGGGTTGATCTCCTTTAGGATTGACAGGTTTGATCTCCTTCAGTCCAAGGGACTCTCAAGAGTCTTCTCCAACACCACAGTTTAAAAGCATCAATTCTTCAGTGCTCAGTCCTCTTTATAGTCCAACTCTCACATCTGTACATGGCTACTGGAAAAACCATAGCCTTGACTAGATAGACCTTTGTCGACAAAGTGATGACTCTGCTTTTTAATACACTGTCTAGGTTGTCATAGCTATTCTTCCAAGGAGTAAGTGTCTTTTGAGACCTAGGATGGGAACTCCTTAATATCTTTTTCTTTTTAAGATATTTATTTATTTGGCTGTACCAGGTCTCCGGGTTGTGGCAGGAGGGATCTTCCATCTTCGTCGCAGCATGTAACGTTGAAATATCCTCCATTCTCCTCAGCAGCCACAGGTGACAGCCCTCCCCCCAATGCCACGGTCCTATGTGTCACCAAGGGCCCGACATCTACCATGCTGGGTCCCGAGCGGAATGCCCGTGACCCTCGCCTGCCTCAGACCATCCTCGAGTCTGTGACACCACAGAGCAAGTAGAGCTGGATGGTTCCATGTGAACAAATGTGACCTTTGAGGTCTGGAGCCCTTGGAGGCTGCACTGGAGACCACTCACTGGGTGCCCACCCAGCCCTGCCGCTCACAGGCCCAGGGGTCCCTGGGCCACTCCTCCTCTCTGACCCTCAGTTTTGCTCTTGTTTTTTGTTTAGTTGCTCAGTCATGTCTGACTCTTTGCGACCCCATGGACTGCAGTCCGCCAGGCTCCTCTGTCCATGGGATTCTCCAGGCAAGAACACTGGAGCGGGTTGCCATTTCCCTCTCCAGGGGATCTTCCCGACCCAGGGACTGAACCCGAGTCTCTGGCATTGGCAGGAGGATTCCTTCCTGCCGAGACACCGGGGAAGCCCTGACCTTCTGTTTCCTTGCCCATTAGAAGAGGTGGTACTGCAAGATGTGTCTGCCCAGCAAGGAGGTTAGACGGTTGAGTTTTCCCTTGATTTCCCATGTCCGTCTGCTGGGTCAGGCACGGGGCTCACCCCCAGTTCTCACTGTTAAAAGACCTCAAAGTCACACCATCGAATGGGATCCCAGGAGGCAAGTCCTGTGACAGAGCTTTCCAGATGGAGTGTGCCCTACATGTGTAAGGAATGACTATTAACCTAGCCCAGGGTCAGCACCTGGGATGCCTGGCTCTGTCTGGAGCAGGTTTGGGTTGTCATGAGCAGGAGAGGAGGGAGGTGCTGCTGGAACCGAGGGCAAGGAGGCCTGAGATGCTGCTCAGGATCCCTAGTGCACAGGATAGCTGCGACAAAGAGCTGTCTGGCCCCAAATGGCAAGTCTTCTGTGTGTGCTTTTTTGGGGCTGTGCTGGGTCTTTGCTGCTGCGAGGGCATTTCTCTACTTGTGAGCAGGGGCTGCTCTCTAGTTCCAGGGCTCGGGCTTCTCATTGCAGCGGCTCTGGAGGAACACAGCTCTGGGCTCTCAGGCTTCAGTCGTTGCAGCTTCTGGGCTCTAGAGCGTGGTGCGCAGGTTCTGTTGTTCCACGGCATGTGGGATCTTCCCCAATCAGGGATAAACTTGAGCCTCCGTATCAGCAAGCAGATTCTTCACCATTGAGCTACCAGAGAAACACTGTTTATATATATATATATATATTTTTTTTTTGCCACACCACGGAGCATGTGGGATCCTAGTTCCCAGACCAGAGACTGAACCTGTGCCCCTTGCAGTGGAATCTCGGAGTCCTAACCGCCAGACCGCCAGGAAAGCCCCCCTTGGGCAAGTTTTAATCTCTCTGAGTTGCAGTTTCTTCATCTGGAAAATGTAATAGTGCTTAGTCCTGAAGGTCGTGGTGAGGTGTAAAGAACCTGTGTAAAGCGTCCTGCTGTACACACACAGCCAGAAAAATAGGAGGAGTGGGGGGACCCGTCCCCATCTCTTTGATTTTCATTCTCGCTCTTCCCCTACGTGGCTGCCTTCCCCCTGGAACATCCAGGGGTGCGTTGTCGTGGAAACCTTTCAGGGATGGTGCACTCAAGAGCTCGAATGATTTTTTTTTCCTCCCCAAAATAACCCATCCTGTCAGTCAAATAACACTTAGGCAAAATGGTTCGACAAGTGAGGTGGTTTTACATCATTAGCTGCTCGGGGAGTTTCCACCCCCCACTGAGACAGGCAGTTAATAGAAATGCGACAGTGAACAATTAGTAAGAGTGATGATGGTGATGGTGATGGCAGTGGTGATGAAGGTGAAAATGATGACTGCCGTCTCCTGTGCCTCTCCTGAATCAGGTGGTGAGCCACATGCTTTACATGCATTGTTAAGTACCGTCTTTAGGAGACACAGGTATCGAGGCTCAGAGAAACGAGTGTCGGGCTGGTCTGAGCCCAGTTCCGACGCCAGGCCCGTGCTCTAGCCGCCGATCTTTGTTGCCTTTCAGGAGCCGCCAGCAGGGAGGGTAGGGGAAAGAAGGCTCAGTTCCTTTCGTCCCTGACCCCTGCATCCAAACCATCAGCTCCAGGCTCAATCTGCCCACAGGACCATTTCGGAGCTTGACTCCTTGGTCCAGACACTCCGGCCCCAGAGGAATGGTCCTGTGTGGCTCCGATGTCCACTGTTTCCTAAGGCCTGAGGCAGAATCACATCTCAGTCCTGGCCTATCAGACCCTTGGCTCTATCCCAGCACAATGTCATAACATAGTCTCCGATCCACAGGATTCCTGCTTGCCTTCAGACAAACAGTCCCCACCTTGGGCAAAAGGGTAATTGGAAGAATGCTGGCTACAGAGCCAGGCAGACCTGGGCTTAGATCCCACTCTTGTTACTTCAGAGTCATGTGACCTCAGACAGCCTACATGTGCTCTTCAAGCCTCAGCTTACCTATCTGTAAAATGGGTTCAAGGTCGGCGGGCTGATAAGTGAGAGCCATGGTGTGTGTTAGTCGCTCAGTAGTGTCCGAGTCTTTGTGACCCCAGACTGTAGCTTGTCAGGCTCCTCTGTCCATGGGATTTTCCAGGCAAGAAGACTGGAGTGGGCAGCCACTCCTTTCTCCAGAGGGGATCTTCCTGACCCAGGGATTGAACCTGGGTCTCCCACATTGCAGGCGGATTCTTTACCATCCAAGCCACCAGGAAGCCAGGCTTGATCTGAATTAGGGTATGGGCTTAGCTGGGTGCTGACCGCTCTTGGAACTAATGTGCCATCAGATAATGTAGCGTGGGTTGGGTAGAGAGTCCCCCCATGACTCTTGGGGTCCGCTTGGGAGAGGCTGCCAGTGGCCAAGGGGACAGACGACTGTGTCCTGGATTCCTCACTGCAGTTCCTGCTGTCGATTCATGAGGCTGGGGTGCCACCTCCTGGCGAGAGGCCTCCAGGGGCCAGCTTGGAGGCGAGGTGGGAGGAGAAAAGGAGCTTTCAGAACTCCTTTGTCACCTCAGGTTGGGGCCGAGCAGGGAGGCCTGGGAGCCCTGGTTCCCAAGTGGTTCATTCATTCATCCGAATCTCCCAGAGGAGCAATCTACTCAGGTTTGTTTTTTGTTTTTTAATATTGGAGCATAGTTTATTAACAATATGTATGGTTGATCAGTTGCCCAGTCACATCTGACTCTTTACGACCCCATGGACTGCAGCGTACCAGGCTTCCCTGTCCTTCACTGTCTCCTGGAGTTTGCTCAAACTCAAGTCTGTTGAATCGATGATGCCATCCAACCATCTCATTCTCTGTTGCATCTCATCTTAACAATATGTGTTAATTACTTTTAAAAATTTACTAAAAAAAAAAACCAAAACAATGTTGTGTTAGTTTCAGGTGCATGGCAAAGTGATTCAGTTATACAGATACATGTATCTGTTATTTTTAAAATTCCTTTTCCCATTTAGGTTGTTACAGAATATTGAGCAGCTTTCTCTGTGCTATATAGTAAGTCCTTGTCATCTCTTATAGCAGTGTGTACACGTCCATCCTAAACTCCCAATCTATCTAAAGCATGTTTTCTTTTTTTAAACAATCTTTTTTTTTTTAAATTTAAAGAGTTCTCTTTATTTATTTTGGCTGCACCTTGCAGCAGGTGGGATCTTAATTCCCCTACCAGGGCTTGAACCCGTGCCCCCTGCATTGGAAGGGGGAGTCTTCACCACTGGACCACCAGGGAAGTCCTGTCTCAGGCTTTCTCATGTTCTGAGGTCACCATCTTTCTAGGTGGCTCCTCACTGCCCAGGTGTTTAGCGACTTATGTGCTATGTACGATTCTTTTTCAAGTCCCCAAACTATGCTTACCTCCCAGTGGCGTGAGCCTTGGAAGTGATGGGGAAGCAAGTTTAGGAGGTTGAGTTCTAATTAATTAAGGTTTTACAACATGGGGCGGGCTTTCCTGGTGGCTCAGATCATAAAGAATCTGCCTGCAATGCGGCAGACCTGGGTTCCATCTCTGGGTTGGGAAGTTCCCCTGGAGAAGGGCATGGCAACCGACTCCAGTATTCTTGCCTAGAGAACTCCGTGGACAGAGAAGCCTGGTGGGCTACAGTCCATGAGGGTCTCAAAGAGTCAAGACATGACGAGTGACTAACACACACTCGCAGACACAATACAGAGGGCAGCTTAAGAATAAAGTTAGATTGTAATCATTATAACTCTGCTGCTTAAAATCAGCAAGCTTTCCGTATGGGAAACAAACTCAAGATCCATTTGGATCAGGTATCTATCAATCAACAGAGACTGATTTTTTTCCATTAATTCATTTGTCCACTGCACTGCACTGGTTTATTCCTATGGGTATAATCATCAAAGGTGGGATTGTTTCTTTCTCTGATTCCTATGCTCTTTCCAATCATCTGTGAACATTTTCTAATCAGCACAGAAATCACAGTCACCAGGTGCCAGATTGTTTTGACGAGAAGAGTGTCTGTGAGGGGACAGAGGCCTGAGCATTTAGGGCTTCTTCCATCACCCAAGCCCACAGATATCTTTTTGGTCTGAGGGGCTGACCTCACCCTTTGCGGTGTTATTTTTTAAGAAACACTTTATTTGTCTGTGCTGGGTATTTGTTGCAGCATGCTAGATCTTTAGTTAGGGCATGCAGACCCTTAGTTGTGGCATGTAGGATCTAAGCTCCCTGACCAGGGATCAAACCCAGCCCCCCTGCATTGGGAGTTCGAAGTCTTAGCCACTGGACCACCAGGGAAATCGCCTGTGGTTTTAACAGAGGGTTAAAATGCACAAAGCCAGCTGGTTGATTTCTCAGTCTGCTGGTAGAGAGACATTGTGTGTGTGCATGCTTAGTTGTTCAGTTGTGTTTGACTCTTTGCAACCCTTTGGACTGTAGTCTGTCAGGCTCCTTTGTCCATGGGATTCTCCAGGCAAGAATTCTGGAGTGGGTTGCTTTGCCCTCCTCCAGGTGATCTTCCCGACCCAGGAGTCGGAGAGCGAGAGCGAGAGCGAGCGAGAGAGAGAGAGAGAGAGAGACCGTAACATCACTTAAAAGTTCGCAGATTTAAAAAAAGTTCGTGGATTTCAAAGCCACCAGTTGGCTGCCCCAGTGTTTCAGGGCAGAATCACTAATCAGGGTCCATAAGTCCTGATGGATACCGGCTTTGAGGCACTGTACCACCATGCCAGATGGGAAACGGCTCAGAATGAGGAGCCTCTCCCAGGTTCTCGCTGGGACCAGGGGTGAACTGCTGCCTTCTTCCCTCATCTGTGGTGTGACTGCCTGCTCAGCACCTGAGCCCGGGTTTGACCCTGCAGTCATACTCCTGAGATCTAATACCACTCTTGTGTAGCCTTCTAGAAGGCTGCGGGCATTGCATGCATGGCATTGTCATCCCATCAGGAGACCAGTGCCGGGGCACCCCGGACAGCTGTTGCAGTTGAGCGCCCAGATGCCTAAGGGTCACCTTGACATAGAGACCAGCGAGCTGGGGCGCCTGTAAGGAGCTTAGTATCAGAGTCACAGAGGGCCAGGATCGGCATGCCAGCGCATGGTCAGCCCCACACATGAGGGTCTCACCACAGATGGGCAGACACGACATCCCACTTCAGCTCCACCCTGTATGACGGGGGTCCCCAACCTCCGGGATCTAATGCCTGATGATCTCAGGGGGAGCTGATGTAATCATAATAGAAATATAAAGTACACAATAAATGTCACGTACTTGATTCATCCCCAAACCATCTAAGCCCCCGCCCCTCGCCCACTACCTCACTCCGTGGAAAAATTGTATTCCATGAAGCCCGTCCCTGGTGCCAAAAAGGTTGGGGGCCACTGTTACTGCAGGAGATACCTGGACCCCGAGATCGTTTCCCCAGGAAGCAGGTTCCCCTACCAGCGGTGTCGAGGGTGACTTGCCTGTTCCTCCTCTAAAGGCCACCCAACTCCTCCAAAGTGACTTTTGTGTATAACATGGAGCTGGGGATTTTAGCCAGGTCTGTTCAATGGGACTCTTCAGATTTGCTCTCTGTCCAGCTATTGTGTCTGTTTTTCCCTGCTCCCCCCTCCCCCCCCCCGGCTGTACTGCTCGGTTTTCAGGATCTTAGTTCCCCCACCAGGGACTGAACCCGGGTCATGGCAGTGAAAGCACGCAGTCCTAACCACTGGGCTGCCAGGGAATTCCCAGCACCCCTTTTACTGAGACGGATAGGAAGAGACGGCTCTCGGTGATTCCACCCAGCAGGAGAAGATGAAAATCAGAGCAAATCATGCGGGCCACAGTGTACAAACAGAAAATGCTCCCACCCCAATGAGTCTGCATTGGGCCAATACCTGACATCTAGTGAAAACCTCCCCGGTTCATCTTTTTTAAAAAAATTTAAAGATATATATATTTAACTATTTATTCAACTGTGTCAGGCCTCAGTTGTGGCATGTGGAATTGTATCATATGGGAACAACTCTAGCAGTGGCGCTCAGGCTAAGCAGTTGTGGCATTTGGGCTTAGTTGCTCCAGGACATGAGGGATCTTAGTTTCCTGATCAGGGATCGAACGTGTGTCCCCTGCACTGTAAGGCAAATTCTCAGCCACTGGACCACCAGGGAAGTCCCCTGGTGCATCTTCCTCGGCTTATCTAATGTCATCTTTGCAGTAACTCCAGGAATACGGGGTCTTACCATCTTACAGATGAGGAAGCTGAGGCTCAGAGAGACTAGGTTGTTTGTCCAAGGTCACCTGGCTGGTCCATGGCAGAGCTAGGACTGAACCCAGATCTGCCCAACCCCAGAGTCTGTGCTCTCAACCAGGGATGACCTGTGGTCCCTTGACCAGAAGCACCAGCATCACCTGGGAGCCTGTTAAATTGCAACATGCAGCCCCACTCGGGACTTAGAAGCTGTGTCTGTCAAAACCCTGGGTGACTTGTATGCATAGAATTTGAGAAGTGCTGGGCCCGTATCATTCCTGTTTGTTAGTTTTACCAAATATTTCCCAGGCAGGCTTGAACCATCAAGTCCCCTCCCTGGGCTGTATATCTTCTGAAAATGTTAGAATATGTCCAAAAAAAATTGAGTCCAATGGCCTGGATTAATTCCCTACCCTAGTACAACATCTCGATGGTCTGATGATTCTGAAATATCACTGCCAAACAGGCACTTCCAGAAGCTCAAGCAAAGCTGTAAAACATGGTGATAAGGGTGCATTTTGACTCTGAGGAGTGAAAATCTGATGACGCTTTGAATTATAGTGAATCAAGATTAATTCCAGGCTCCACTTAGAGGAAGCTTTCAGGCCGAGTGGTTTGCACATAAAATCATGTCCCCTGATGTACCAAGTGAAAGGCGTGACAACTCTATCGCTTGGTGTCAATTACCTTGATAGGTTTGTCCCCAGGAGTGCTGGGAAAGTCACCGGTGGTACTGTTTTGAACACTTATTATTAATAAATCCTGTCTTTTTTTTCTTTTTTCTTTTTTAAATGGTGAAAGTCATTGTTGTCGCCAAGTCGTGTCTGACTCTTTGTGACCCCGTGGACTGCAGCACGTCGGGCCTCCCTGTCCCTCACCATCTCCCGGAGTTTGCCCAAGTTTATGTCCATTGAATCGGTGATGCCATCCAACCATCTCATCCTCTGTCACTCTCTTCTTCTGCCCTCAATCTTCCATAGCATTAGGGTCTTTTCCAATGAGTCAGCTCTTCACATTAGATGGCCAAAGAATTGGAGCTTCAGCCTCAGCATCAGTCCTTCCAGTGAATAGTCAGGGTTGATTTCCTTTAGGATTGACTGGTTTGATTTCCTTGCAGTCCAAGAGACTCTCAAGAGTCTTCTCCAACTCCACAGTTCAAAAGCATCAATTATTTGGTGCTCTGTCTTCTTTGTGGTCCAACTCTCACATCCATACATGACTACCGGAAAGATTATAGTTTTGACTATATGGACCTTTGTCGGCAAAGTGAGTCTTTGCTTTTTAGGTTTGTCATAGCTTTCTTTTCAAGAAGCAATCATCTTCTGATTTCATGGCTGCAGTCACCATCTGCAGTGATTTTAGAGACCAAGAAGAGAGAATCTGTCACTGCTTCCAACTTTTCCCCTTCTCTTAGCCATGAAGTGATGGGACTGGATGCCATGATCTTAGTTTTTTAAAGATTGAGTTTTAAGCTGGCCTTTTCACTCTCCTCTTTCACTTTCATCAAGAGGTTATTTCCTCTTCAAGTTACATATAGCTCCACTATATATTAAAATTATTTAAGTAGATAAATTAAGATTTTTAGTTGGAGTTTCAAAATCACTCTTAAAAATTATTAGAATAGACAGAAAAGTAGGATATAGTAGACCTGAAAAGCACTGTGAACCAATTCAACATAATTAAGATTTATACAATTTTCACATAACAGTAAGATACAAATTCTATTCAAGTTCCCATAGACTATAAACCAGGAGACACTGGAACATATCCAGGGACATAAAACAAGGTACAAAAACTTCATGGTCTAAAGGTATTGAAATGATACAGTCTTATCACTGTGGAATTACATCAGAAATCCATATCAAAATATAAATGAATCCTGTCTTGATCTGCTACTCTGTTTGATTATGGCAAGTCAATCAGGGAAGTTTTTTTTTTTTTTACAAATTTAAATTTATTTTTTAATTTTAATTTTTTTAAAACTCAAAACATTTTGTATCGGGGTATAGCCAATTAGCAATCAGGGAAGTTTTTTGGTGTGTATAGTAACCTTGGAAAAGGGGAAGATCTCAGAGGCAAGGCTTCGCAAACCTCTGTGTTCACAAATTGCCCTGGGTCTTGTCGGAATGCAGGTCTGACTCGGGTCTGGGCTGGGCTTGCTGCTACACGTCTAACAAGCTCCCATGGAGATGGCACAGCCGAGGTTGCTGGTCTGGGAACAACACTGGGGATGCGCGGAGAGCACAGGCCTGGGCTGGGAGCCTGACTCCGCCACATGGTAGCTGTGTGGTGGTGGGCAGGTTGCTTAACCTCTCTGAACTCCAGATTTCTCACATTTAAAATAGGGATCCTTCTGCCTCTCAAGGTCTTTGTAAGATTTAAAGATGGTGCGTGTACATCTCCTTCCACTCCTGGTGGGAAAGGCTGGGACTCATTCTCCTGCATTGGCTTCACGGCAGGTTCAACCGAGGCCTATTTTCTTTTCTGAAGTAGCTGATCCTCTTCTTCCAGGTCACGGTTTCTCTGCCTCGGCACCACTACCATTTTTGGGCTAGATTGTTCTTTGCTGTGGGGGCTGTCCTGCGGTATGGGATGTTTAGCAGCCTCCTTGGCTGGGGGCACCCATCTCCCCGAGGTGTGACAACCCAAAATGTTTCCAAACTTAGCCAAATGCCCCTGAAAGCAAGAGCACCCACAACTGAAAAACACCACTCTAAGTGACAATTCCTCCAAACAATTAATTCCATAAAATGTACTGAGCCCCTGCTCTGGGCCAGGGTCAGACGTCAGGAATGGATTGGTGTGTGAGACAAACATGTCCCTGACTTCATGGAGACTTTTCCCATTCAAAAGCCTTAGTCTTCTTAACCATTAAATGGGTCTAACCAGGCTGCTGACTTACTAAAAAGAATGAATTGAGATTGGAGAAGCCTGGCCCACTGTGTCAGGATAGAAATGGGACCTGTGCTTGGGGGGCGGCGACGTGGGCAGGGGTGGCTGGGCTGGAGCAGGAGGGGCATTGGGGTGGGGCTGTGCTCACCCTGGGGAGCAGGGGAAAGCGTGCAGGAGCATCGAGGGGGTGCGGGGAGGGGACCGAGGGGAGGGACGGTAGGACTCGAACTGGAAAGCAGGAGAGAGATGGAGGGAGAGAGGTGGTGGGAGGAGCGGAGGTGACAAGGTGAGGCCCAGGGAAGCGGGTTAAAGACCAGACAGACAGACAGACAGACACCTGTGCTGGTGACACACGGTGGAGAGAAGGGAGGGGGGACCAGCCCAGGCTGAGGAAGGAAAACGCCCACGAGGCAGCTGGCTGGGGAGGCTGGACCCTGGGCAGCCTGGGGGACCAGAGGAGTAGCTTTTACGTCTGCTCCAAACACCCCTGATTTTGGTTATGAAGAGTTAAAACCATATTGGGTCATAGAAGATCCATTTACCATATTTTTTAAATGATAAAAAATAAATGATGAAATTCTCAAGCACATGACTTTGCGAGCTTTCAATTTTATTAGAAATGTCACGAGAACAGTCGAGAAGCTGTGTCTACAGATACGATGGGCTCTGTTACTGGTTCCACAAAGATCTTCCAGAGTTCCTGCAGCAAACGGAGGGACGGATTCCCAGGTGAGCAAACAAGACTTTAGTTTCACAAAGGGGTGTAAATTGACAAAAGAGAAGCCCCAACAAGAGGTGAACACTGGGCAGCGTGGAAGCTACTGGGAGAACAGGTGGGCCCTCTGACGGCTCGGGCTCTTCCGTGGAGGAGCTGCGTGCTGAGTCCTGGCACGGATCTGAGAGGCTGAGGCTGCCCCATGGTCTAAGGGACGATGATGGCAGCAGGTCACACAGCTCCTGCTTCTGGGAGCAGCGCGCCCAATGCTGCGCTTGCTGGTGGGACAGAATGAGGGGGAGCCAGGCCTGGTCTCCACAGGCCCAGAGAAAGGGCGCTGCAGACAAGGGGCCGAGGGAACGAAAGCCCTTGGGACTTCTATGAATTCAGCTCCTGGGCATTTTAAGGAATTTTAAAGGGGATTTTAGACTTTCCAAATTCCCCCCCAGTGCTGGTTTTAAAACTGAAATAGGAAAAAAAAAAAAAAAAAAAAAAAACTGAAATAGGAAGTGATGTGCCTGTAGGGTTAATCTTGGCTTCCCTGGTAAAGAATCCGCCTGCAGTGTGGGAGACCTGGGTTCGATCCCTGGGTCAGGAAGATCTGCTGGAGAAGGGAAAGGCTACCCACTGCAGGACTCTGGCCTGGAGAATCCCAAGGACAGAGAAGCCTGGTGGGCTACAGTCCATGGGGTCACACAGAGTCGGACACGACTGAGCGACCGAGCACACACTGCTGCCATTTCCCGGGAATTCACCTTGCCTGGGTGGGGGGGCAGCCAGCACCTGGCGCCTGTCATCAGGGTGACAGCTCAGAGGCCCACATGAGAGGACCCCGCCTGCCAGTCAGAAGGGCCCAGGGCCATCAGACTCACCATCCCCCCCCTCCCCAGCCGGCGAGGCCATACACTTTCACAGTGAAGAGTGGCTGTCGGCCCAACCAAACGCCCCCTCCCCAGCCTGCTGGCTTGCCCCGGAGTCCACACTGCCCGCATGGAAAGGACGTGCCCTAAAGCCGGGTGACCATTCATTGCGCCAGACCAGGAGGGCCCAGCGCAGCGATCAGCCGCTAGAGCTCGGGCCGGGCCCAACCAGGACGCTGGCTCATTGCCTCCTGCGTCTGCGGCCCGCGGCCTCACCCAGAGCCGGCAGCCCGCGCCGACGTGCGCACCTACCAGCTGCTGGATGCGCTCGTACACCAGGAGCTGCGGGAACGAGGCGTCCACCGGCTCCACCGCGAAGCGCAGGCGCCCGCCAGCCAGCCCCTCCAGCCGCCGCAGCCACGCGCGGAAGTGGTCGTAGGCCTCGCACGTGACGTCCAGGTGCCTCAGCGTGAAGTTCAGCCTGTGCACAACCAGAGAGAGTGCTGCCATCACCCCCGGCGCTTTCGGTCCCTCCCGTCCGCCGGACTTGAAGCAAGCGCCTCCGCGTGCTGAGCAGGAAGCCTTGGAGGGGGGTCAGTGACCACCTCCACTCACCCCTGCAGGACGGGGCTCAGAGGGGAGGGGCAGGTGTCAGGTTCAAACCAAGTGATCGGGTCCACGAGGTGCCACAGGTCACGGGGACCAAGCAGGTGGGCGTCCTGGACCTCATCGTGTAAAAGCTGCAGGAGCAGCCGTGCCCGACTGGATGGCTCTGTGCCCGCCCGTCATCACTGCCACAGGGCCGGTTCTAGAAGCTGAGCTGCAGGGTCGGTCAGTCTGCTCGGGTTTGATTTTTGCTATCGATTCTAAACTGCTTTCAGGAGAGCTGTGGGCTAGCTTATGAATTAGAGGAAAATGTGTGTAGCGGGCCCCGCGCTGCATCTACCGTGAGGGTCACTCCCGCAACGGGAGCCCTAGCATCTCAGGACCTCCTGGGGGAAGCGCCCTGGAGGGGCTGTGAGTGCAATCGGGGAGGACAGGGGCGCGGGGCACAGACAGGGAGAGCCTTGGTGAACGCTGCGGCCACGCATCTGGGCTCCGGGGTGGCCACTGCCCAGCGGGGCCTGGACGGGTCCCCAGAGCTGCAGCCCCCTGAAGTCTCAGCCTCCTCCCCGTGGCTGTGTGATGGGGGCGGCGGCGCCTGTATACACGCTGCTGAGTGGGGATCACACGAGGCTGTGTGTGTCAGGGACAGCAGGTGCTAGATGAGGAAGGGACAAGGACGACACGGATGGACGCATATGGCAGGCGAGGGTGGCCTGGCCCGCGCGGAACTCACCTCTTCTCCACCGAGAGGATGGCGGTGCAGGCGTTCTTGAGCTTGTGGGCCAGTCGGGAGAGGGTTTTAAACACAGCATCAGTTAGGTCGTCATCATAAAACACTGAGGGGAAGAAAACAGGCAAACGTCAGGGAGGAGGATCCCTTAGCGGATCCCAAGGACCCCAGGACGGAACCTGTGTGGACGTGATCAGTCGCAGCTCAGAAGGAAAGCAGCAGGAGCCGTGGCGGGAGGCCACCCCTGAGGACCACCCCCCGAGGACCACGTGTGGTGAGGCAGAGGCGCCCTCACCTTCGGCCGCCAGCAGGATGGTGGTGTTGCCGTACAGGTGGGAGATGTCCTCCTCGGACCAGCTGAAGGGGGCCTCGGGGTCTGTGGAAGCGGAAGCACACCGCAGGCTCAGCCCTTGCTCTGCGGGCCACCAGTTCTCACTGGACTGCAGTAAGCTTTAGGAGAAGCCGGGGCGGGTGAGGGGGCACAGTGGGCACCGCCAGGCAGCCCTGAATCCCAGCAGGAGCTTCCGCCGGGCCTGCCTCGGCCACGAGGGGCCGGACTGCTGCCTCGGCCGGCACCCTGAACAGAACAGGGGCTGCCCCTCCGTCCTCGGCACTCCTGGCCCCGTGGACTTGCTGTGTGACCTGAGAAAAGCGCTTCACCTCTCTGGGCTGCGGTGCTCATGCTAGGATGGGCCTGACAGGCTTCCCTCACAGGACTGTCAGGGGGACCGAGGGACCTCAAGTGCACTGGGCGCACGCAACAACAATGGTTTTCCTCACCCCACGTCTGGCAGGAAAAGTTCTTGTACCAAGAAAAAGAGCAAGGGTGTGAGTGTGAATTAGTCTGTACAAGAAACTTAAAAAGCAGAATTTAGCAATCTCCCCCGCTCAGCGGACCCTGAACCCCGAGCCGACTCCTGCAGGCAAATGGTCTCAGCCCTGGAGTCCCACAGGCTTGGTTTCACACCTTGCCCGGCCAGTACCTGTGGCCCTGGGCAAGCACCGAATCTCTCTGAGCACCCGTCTTCCCGCGCGACCCAGGGACTACAGGACAGACGGGACAGTGATGCGGTGAGTCCGAACGACAGGACGAGTGTGGGGCGCCTGGCATGGGCAGCACGGAGGGCAGCTGTCGCTCATCAGCCAGTGGACACAGGGCCCGGCTGGTCAGCCGCCACAGGGCGCATGGCCTTGAGGCGGCCCGAGGAGCCCCGAAGGAGCGAACGGGGACCCGAGCGGGGCGGCCACGCACCCGTGCAGAGGTTGTCTCTCAGCCAGTCCAGCTCCTTCACCTTGACCACGCCGCCTGCAAAACAGACGCCAGCGCAGCTCCCCAGACTCAGCACAGTTAGGGAAGGCGAACCTCACACTTCACCTCGCGGTCCACCCATCCCACTATTTTTTTTTTTTTGGTCATGCTGTGTGGCTTATGGTATTTTGGTTTCCTGACCGAGGACTGAATTTGGGGCCCCAAGCAGTGGAAGCATGGAATAGTAGCCACTGGACCATCAGGGAAGTTCCCCATCCCATGCTTTTCACATTAAGCATCAGGCCTGGTGCTGGCCCAGGGAGCAGTCTCATGAGGCACGTCCCTTTCCCAGGAGACCAGCGGGCAGCAGATGCTGATATGAAAAGGACATGCTTCCAGACCAAGTCTCCAGCCAGGCCAGGATGCCTGGAGTGGAGGTAGGGTAGGGACTGCCAATGGGCAGAGACCAGACTCCACAGGATCCAGATGACCAAATGAGCTGGGTCTCTGCTCCAAGAACAACGGGCAATCTCGGAAGGGTCTGAAGCCTGTGGGACTGGCTGACCCTGTCCGAGTCTGGGAAATTCCCCCGGCTGTGTGAGGGAGGGGTGTGTACAGGCAGCGCCTCCATCAGCAGCATCCTTTTTTGGGTGGTCAGGCCGATGGGGCAGGGGGCACCCCGGGCCGAAGGAAGGGCATGTGAGGTGAGTCTGTGGCTCTCTGGGCACAGGGCTGGATGGTGCAGCTGTCAGGAAAGGGGGCAGGAACCAGAGGAGGAGCTCAGACTCTGCCCCTGGAAGATGCTCAGAGGGGAGGGAAGCGGTCAGACAAGGAGCTGGGGAGACCCGGCGGGGGCCCCATGGCCTGCGGGGAGGAGAGGGTGGAGGTGGGCGCAGTGGAGGCGTGGGCAGAGAGGAGGAAGGACAGAGCCATCGCACAGCTTCAGGGCCACGAGGCCAGGACGTCTGCTCCCTCCTGTCTGGGGGGATCCGCCGCCCGGTGCCTCAGTTCTGGGTGTCTGGACCACCTGCCAGACAGAGGAGCCCCCCTCCCGGGCGGGGACCCAGCAGGCCTCACCTCCAGAGGCGAGCAGGTGGCTGTTGAGGGCGATGTTTCGCTGGCACATGGCCAAGAGGTCTGTACCAACATCTGGGGAGACAGAGAGCAGGCATGAAGCACCGGCCCTTCACCTCCGTGCTCCCGCCTGCAGAACTCCTGCCCACAGCCCGGCGGCAGAGACGTGCAAAATGGAAACCAACATTCCTCCTGCATGTTTCATGCCAAAATGAAGGATGTTCACCTTAAGGCTCCTTCTCACGATCTCTTCCTTAGAGAAAATTGTCCTCGTGGGCAGACTCCGCATTCCAGAGAGGAGGAATGAGAGCTCCCAGAATCTTCAGAGCTCATGAAACATGCATGCGCTTCCCGAGTCCACCCTTGACCTTTCTAACGACCCTGAGCTGGCCTCACGGCCCTGTCACAGACGAAGTGGCTGGGGCCGAGTCATGTGGTTGGGTGGAGCCAGGGCTGGGAGTAGAACCCAAGTACCTCTAGAGGACAGGCTCAGTAGCTGTGCTGCCCAGGGCTTAGCTGCTCTGCGCCACGTGGGATCTTCCCAGACCAGGGATCGAACCCGTGTCCCCGGGACTGGCAGGATCCTTAGCGGATCCTTAGACCATCAGGAAAGTCTGCACCCAAGCATCTCTGACTCCAAATCGAGGCTCTCTCTTTGACGCCACCGAAGATGGATGAGCCAGGAGGGCGTCTGGATGTGACTGGTGGGGACAGAGCAGCGTCAGGCAGGCTGACAGCCACGCCCCGGGGTTTGACTCACTGTCGCCACCATCGCATCTCCCCACCCGCCTGCTGCTCTGACCAGGCAGGGGTTCCTGCCACTTGAGCAGAACTGAGTTGTAGCTCAGTGAGCCCTGGAAGGGGGCCAGGGCGGTGCTTTGCCAAAATTAACTTTTCAATCAGGAGAGCAAGCATGTGGAGTGCACGGGAAGCCTTGTGAATGGCTTTCCTTGGCCCCTTGGCTTTCCTTGACCATGGAGCACCCCCCACCTTCCCCCCACCCCCAGACCTCCCTGGGACTGGACCATTGTCTCTACCCAGAGACCATGCAGAGCCTGGGGGTGGTGGGAGTGGGGGTGGCGGGAAGCCCTGTCCCTGCTGCTGGGGCTCTGGGAACAGAACACTGAGGGATGTTCCTGGCAGCACAGGGCTGGGTCAGCAGTTTTTAAGCCTTTATGGTATTTTTGTCAGAAGATCTCGTGTTGGATTCTAATGTGCCAAGCGGATTCGAGAGTGGCAGTGCTGGCTGAGTGGGGGTGGGAGACCCGGAGCCTGGGGCTGCCTCTGCCCTCCACCCCTCAGTCGGCCCTGAGGGGGCTCCCCGGGTGACTGTGGGCCAGCCCCCTGACCTCAGCCCCTCCCGTTTGGAAAGAGGGGATGCTGACAGGCTGCCTGGGGTCGCTGTGAGCTTGCAGGTGCTGGCGCTCACGAAAAGGCCTTACTAACTGTAATATGCTGCCTGCAGGCACGCGGTCTCAAGGGGAAGATAATCACTAACAGATGAGATCCTGGTGTCAGGCTCCAGGCGTGAGCACAGCCCTTGGGTACTGCTTGGTGGCCTGACTCTGTGAAGTTCACTGGCCATTTACACCAACTGTCCAGGAGCCACAGAGTGGCCTTGCTGCAGACTCCTGACCAGTGGCTGACAAGATGGGCGCCATGGAAACATAAACTAAGAATCTGGTGAAACACAAAGCGTGTCAGCAGACACCACTTTCTGCCTAGCGGCTATTAAAGATTTAAAAAAGAACAACATTAATAATAATCGCCTGCTGAGATCCTACTTTCTTACAAACTGGGAGACTGTCCCTGAGGAAGCACCCCGGCCAAGTCTGGAGTGTAGCTGGAGATACTGCCCTGTGTCAGTTTGCGGCTGTGACCCCTGATGTCATCATGGGAGGAGTTGGGGGGAGGGTGCACGGCACTTTCTGTGCTGTTCTGGCAACTTCTGGGTGAACCTAATACTATTTCAGAATAAAGCTTTTAAAAAGCAATCATTAAGTACATTAACAAGTAAGTACAGGCTTCCCTGGTGGCTCAGATGGTCAAGACTCTGCCTGCAGTGGAGGCCCAGGTTTGATCCCTGGGTTGGGAAGATCCCCTGGAAGAAGGCACGGCAACCCACTCCAGTATTCTTGTCTGGAGAATCCCATGGACAGCGGAGCCTGGAGTAGAAGCCTATAGTCCATGGGGTGGCAGAGTTGGGCATGACTGAGTGACTAACACATGAACAGCAAAAGCTTAAGAAAGGTCCCACTCACTTCCAGGAATCTGGTTTAAGGATCATCAACTGAAGAGGCACAAAGGTTTTGGTTGCAGTGCAAAAGAAAAACAAGAAACAAAACAAATCAAAACCAAACCATACCACATGAAAACAGCCAAAATGTCCAGCAACAGGAGAATGGTTAAAAAAAAAAAGAGAGAGAGAGAAAAGGGATGAAATACTGCTTGATCATTAAAAGTTAATTTTTAAAAATTAATTTATTCATTTTAATTGGAGGATAATTACTTTACAATATTGTAGTGGTTTTGGCCATACATTGACATGAATCAGTTATTGAAATAACTTAATGACAATGGAAAATGTGCTTTCTATTTTCCGACATTTTTGACAGGATAAGGCACCGAATATATGTAGTTTGATCTAAGTTATTTGGGAGCATGTACACACAAAGGAAAAGATTGTAAAAAATAATTTAAAAAATTATTAAAAAATAGACTCTGAAGCTTCCCGCATACAGCGACTTGATGTGTTTCATTCACCCCAGGTTTCCCATGTCTGGCATGCAGTTACCTGCACACTGTTGACACTATCTGGGAATTGTGAAATTATGAGGAAATTTATTTGCTGTTCTACAAATTGTCCAAGAGAGTAGGCAAGATTTCTATAATCAGGAAAAAAATAATAAACTGTCTTTAATAAACTGTCTTTAAGCCTGTGGTGTTGCAGGAGACTCTTGAGAGTCCCTTGGACTGCAAGGAGATCCAACCGTCCATCCTAAAGGAGATCAGTCCTGGGTGTTCATTGGAAGGAGTGATGCTGAAACTGAAACTCCAATACTTTGGCCACCTGAATGTGAAGAACTGACTCATTTGAAAAGACCCTGATGCTGGGAAAGATTGAAGGCAGGAGGAGAAGGAGACGACAGAGGATGAGATGGTTGGATGGTATCACCGACTCAATGAACATGAGTTTGGGTAAGCTCTGGGAGTTGGTGAAGGACAGGCAGGCCTGGCGTGCTGCAGTTCATGGGGTCGCAAAGAGTTGGACACGACTGAGCGACTGAACTGAAGCCTTTACTAAGTCACTTCAGTCATAGCCAACTCTGCAACTGTAGCCCGCCAGGCTCCTCTGCCCATGGGATTCTCCAGGCAAGAACACTGGAGTGGGTTGCCAGTCCTTCCTCCAGGGGATCTTCCTGACCCAGGGATTGAACCTGTGTCTCTTATGTCTCCTGCGTTGACAGGTGGATTCTTTACCACTAGTGCCACCTGGGAAGCCCATCTTTAAGCCTTATTAGAGGTACATTCTTCCTGATTTCTGAGATGTTTACTTTCTTGAGGGGGTGTGAGCAGAGGTACCAGCCAAGCTGCTGGTCCTGAGCCTGCTGGAGTCACTGGGAAAACACAGAGGGTGGAGAAAACCAGCCAGGGAGAAGGGCAGAATCAAGAGCTGCCAAGGTCGGATTCCCAGTCTCCCTCCCTCTTTTATCCAGTCAGCACACCCTTTGTGAAGAAAAAGCTCCCCCGTAGCCTGCGATGGTGGGGCATTACCTGTACAATACACGGTCTGTGCCACGGTGGCTGCGATGATGCTGGCCAGCCCGGTGCCCGCCCCGAGTTCCAGCACCGTGCGACCCTGGAAGAGGTCTCGCTGGAACAGGATATAGTCTGCCAGGAGCAGGGCACCCCGCCACACCTGGAGGGGAGAGGGGGCAGGAACGGCGGGTGACCTGAGGCTCTCAAGAGACCCTGCAGGGCCGCGGGGAGAGGACGGGACCTACCCACCTGCTTGCCAACATCCTCCAGGGGGGTGGCCATGGTGTGCTCTGGACAGGGCGGAAACCAAGAGAGAAAGGGCGACAGTGAAAACAGGGATGGACAGGACAGCGACGGGGTGCGGGGGAGGTGGCTGACACAGTGGGACAGGGGCTGGAGGCTGGAGTTCTAAACAGCAGCAGAAAAACAGGCCACACGGCCGTCCGCTAGCCTCCAGGGCAGGATGAGTATTCCTTTCCTTCAGATCACTGAAGCCTGGACTCAAGTCCAGACCGCGGCCGGGACACTCCGGTCACAAGAGGACTTGGCCCAACTTAACCACCAACACACACCCCACACTCCACTTGAAGTGTTCTCAAACACAGGACACAATCTAGTGCCGGTTAGTGGTGTCGGGATGGAGCACAGAACTATGAGGTCAAGAAGAGTGACGGAAAACATTTTTCCTGTTAAAGAACCGGCTCTCGCATCTTTAAGTGAGATGGTGACGGCCAGCAAATCAAACACCAGGACACACGCACAGCAGGGCAGCCTGGCTCACATCAAACCCCAGCTCACGCCAAGCCAGGAACAGGGAGCAGGGCTGGGAGAAGAAACAGCAAGGCTGAAGGGCCGAGTGTGTGTGAGTGTGTGTGTGAGAAGAGGCCTTCCCGGGGGGCTCTCTTCTCCAGCTGCCTTGGACCTTTAGTCCAAAGACCACACTGCGCCTCCTCCCCAGTCTCTGCGGCCCCTGCAGACTGTCCCTGGCCCACTGTCCCCACCATGACTCGGGTCCCCCTGCAGAGGGGCCTCATCCCATCTTTCTTTGCCTCCTTCCACTCTGCATGGCCAAGCTGGGGGCACTCTCCCACAGGGATCTCGGTAGTCTGAGCCTGGTCTTTTTTCCCAGAGGTCCCGTGGACTGAAGTTTCGCCTCTGGCTGCATTTAAGGGGTGCTTGGCTTCCCTTGAGCGAGAACGTGGACTGAGCTCACAGACTTGAGGGTGACCCAGGCTCAGTCACGGGTCTGGCTGGTGGCATGAGTCACCAACCTCAGCACCAGAGCCATGAGTTGCTCCTTCACAAGATGCAGAAATAATATCATCTCATTTGTGGGCTCAAAGGCCTCCCTAACCAGGCTCAAGGGTGCCTCATGGGAAAGCCAGTTTACACTTAAACAATCCCAGTGGCCTCGTAAGAGCATAAAAGCCCAGCCTGAGGAACTTTCATCCGTGCTCAGTAGCTCAGTTGCATCCAAATCTTTGTGACCCCATGAACTGTAGCCCGCCAGGCTCCTCTGTCCATGGGATTTTCCGGGCAAGAATACTGGAGTGGGTTGCCATTTCCTCCTCCAGGGTATCTTCCTGACCCAGGGATCAAACCCAAGTCTCCTGCATTGGCAGGTGGATTCTTTACCCCCGAGCCACCCGGGAAGCCCCACGAGAAGCCCCAGGGTTAGCAAAGGGGGTGAGGCAAATGGTCTCAGTGTCTGAGGGGCGCCCGGCCCGTCAGGACAGCCTCCAGGCCTGTGGGAACCCAGACTCTGCTCCTCAGCTACCTCCCTCCTGCGCACTCAGATTGGTCCCCAGGAATGAAGCTGACGGCAACTCATGTTTACTGAGCACCTACTATGTGCCAGGCACTGTACTAAGCTCTATGTGGGCCAGCTCCCTCTGTTCCTTACAACCAGGGGAGATTACACTCATTTCACAGAAAAGGAGGCTGAGCTCTGAGGTTAAAGTACTGGTGTGAGTCTCAGACCAATGGAAAAGGCAAGTGACTTGAGATTCGACAGCCCAAGTTCCAGCCCTGCCTCTTCTGCGTTCTCTTTGGGTTCCAGTTCTTTATCTATAAAATGGGGGAAATGCTCATAATTTACTTGGAACCTTGTGTCTGTGAATCCCTGGCTGGTCCATGAGTAAGCGTTAAGATTTTTGACAACAGAACTTTCCAATGTTCTGGTCACACGACGTGGGCAGGGAACATGGGCGGTGGGGTCGGACAGGGCCAGTGAGAGTCAAGGCTCTGCACTGACTAGCTGAGTGACGTGGGCAAGTTCCTCAACCTCTCTGAGCCTCAGCTCCCTCCTCTGGGAAATGGGAATACTCATCCCTGGGAGGGCCACAGGGACTAGAGACAATCCACAGGAAACAGAGAAGGGGCCCCGCCGGTGATCTAGAACCAGCTGGCCGAGGAGCAGCAGGCGCTTGGTCACTGTGTGCTGGGCCGCTGACCAGGCTGCTACCAATCAGAGTGGCTGTTCTGTTAGGGTTTTTGAGACAGTCCAGTGGACCCCATGCCCCTGACCTGGGCCAGTATTGAGGGAGGCCTTTACCTGGGACCTCAGGCACCACCTGGATTCTAGATCTCAATGAACAGATTCAAATCAGAGCTCCTCCCCGCAGATGAGCAGGGCAGGGGTGGCCGGAGACGGTCCACATGGGTTCAGAACCTCCCTCACTGGCCCCAAACTGCACAGCCTTGAGCCTGTCACTTCCTCATCTGAACCACGCCCTAGAGGGTCTGTGAAGACCACTGAGGTGATGAAGATGGACATCACAACACAACAGGTGCCTCATCACTGCTGGCTTACTTCCTGCCCTGGCTGCTTTCCCCCCCTGGCATTTCCGGAGATCAAAATCCCTGCTCTGCCAATGCCCTCTGCCCTGACCCCGGGCAGGTGTGGATGTTCTGGGCCCTGCCTGAGGGCCTGCTGAGACCCCCTCCCACCCCGCGCCCCCAGCTTCTAGCTCCCACCCCCCGGGCCATCTGACTGGCCCACTTGCTCCTCCAGGTTGACTATGGACCTACTTCCCTCTCTGTCTTCCTCTGTCCCGATCCGGCTCTGGAATATGCCAGGGCTCCCTGCTGCCCACCCCCACTGGCCCAGTCTTCCAGCGACAACCCCGACCCACAGCCGGGCAGCCGTGTGGGCTCAGGATGCTGAGGCAGGTGGCAGCGGCAGCAGCAAGGCTTCTGGAACAGCTGACTGCCGAGCTGGGACTCACACTACAACAACCGGGAACGTGTCAGCCAGGGAAGCAGCGGCGGGGCAGGCCCTCCGGGACGGAGGTTCGCTCCAGCAGAGGTGCGCAAGTGAGGAAGCGCATGGAAGGTAAGAGGGTGGGCGGTGTGGGAACTGAGGCTGGGGAGGTGGGCCGAGCTAAGCTGAGCTCACGGACTGTGTCCTGAGGGCAACGGGAGCCAGTGAGGAGTCTGGAGTAGGAGGGGGATCTGACCACGTTTTGGCACGCTCCCCAGCAGGCTCCAGTGTCCGTGCTCGGGTCCCGCTGACCCAGCTCGCCCTGTGATGCCTGGACTGGCCAGCGCTCAGGGGGCCGTGTGCCCTGACCCACTGTGGTGCTGCCCTGGTGGCAGGTGAGCAGCCCTTTATTTACCTATTTTGATGACGTTGTAGGGGCTGTTCTCTGGGGCTTCGTCTTCTAGGATGTCGTCTTCCTCCTGCGTTAGGATCATGGGATGTACCTTGTCTCTCGGAGGTCCTGGTGGCTCGGAGGCAGAGGCAGCCCGGGGTCTTCTCACGACGTCCAAGTCCCCGTCCTCGTCCAGCTGAGCTGCCAACCCTTCTGGGGTGGTGGTGTCGGCCCCCGCCTGGAGGGAGGCCCCCACGTGGCTGCAGACAGTGCCGGCGGGAGGGGTCCCCTCTGTGTGATCGCTACCCTCGGCCCCTGAGTCAGTCTGAGAGTCTCGGTCCCACAGAAGCTTGAACTGGGACAGGAAGACTGAAAGCGAAACATACAGAGTATTTCTACACTGTCTCCTTTCCTATTTTCTTTCCTCAATTTCCACCTGGAAAGAATTTTAAAGGCTGGGCGGGGTGGGGAGAGGCGGGGAGGCAAATAAGGTCCTACCACATAGCAGAGGGAACGATGTTCACTGTCACATAATAAACCACAGTGGAAAAGAAAAGGGCCAGGTGGAGACATCATGACGGCAGCAGAAAAGGCCCGTGCGATTCGGCTGTGAAACTGTGGTCTCAGAGCAGCCACTTTCTGACCTACACTGCAGCTCACGTGCTCTCATTTACTCCTCACAGCAGCCATGAACACAACAGTGTTGCTCCATTTTACAGATGTGGAAACTGAGGCTCACAAGTTAAGTGAGCTGACCAAGGTCACACAGCTGTGGGTGTGGCTGAGGCAGGATCCAAATCCAGTCTCCCCGACCCCTGGGCCACTGCCCTCCTTGCCACACTGTCCTGCCTTGAGGTCTGGAGGCTGGGACACGGGTGCCGGGGCCCTCACCACCTGGGGCCCAGAGAGTCACCAGGACAAGTTTCGGTAAGAGTACGGTGCCAGGCTGGAGGTAGGGGGTGCCAGGACTTGAGTGGACAGTCCCGGGCCAGAGTCCTCTGTGCCCCTGCTGTCTGACCCCCGGGCCAAGTAGCTCATCTGTTCTGAGCCAGTTTCCTGAATCCTGGAATCCAAACGGGGACAGGAGGGAAAGGGAGAGTAACTAATCACGACAGAAAAATAAGCAAGCACAGGGTGACAGGAGCTGGGGAGGGTGGCCAGGGAGGTCCCGGGAGGGGAGAATGTTCTGGGCAGAGTGAAGAGCAGGCGCAAAGGTGCTCAGAGAGGAAGGTGTGTGCCTGGTGTGAGGGACAGAAAGGACCCCGAAGTGACCGCTGGGCATTGATGGCAGGCGAGAGAGGTGTGACACTTGGGCAGGGGCCAGGCTGAGCCTCAAAGGCCAAGGTGAGGACTCTGGTTTCGTTCTGAGAGCACGGGAAGCCACTGGAGGGTCTGAATCTGGGTAGTGGTGTGACCTGCATCTTTCATAAGATCCCCTGGGGCACTTCCTTGGTGATCCAGCAGCGAAGATTCTGCACTATGAGTGCAGAGGGTCCTGGTTCGATCCCTGGTCAGGGAACTAGGTCCTGCATGCAGCAGAGAAGAGCAAAGATCCTGTGTGCTGCAACTTGGACCGGTGCAGTCAAACGATTAAATAAAAATAAATATTAAAAAGAAAGAAAGAAAAGATCCCTTGGGCTAGAGGAGTTGGGGAGGGTGTGTGGGAAGAAACCAGGGGGTCCTGGTGGGAGGAGTCAGCCTGGGAGAGGGCCACGTCTCCCCGACTGGTCTGTGGACTCCCCGAGGGCAGAGTTCAGCCCATCCCCTCCACTTTCCCAGCATCGCATCCGGCCTGGCACATGGCAGGGGCTCGGGGAAGGGTGGCGGGCTTGCCCTGTGAGACAGGGGCTCCTAAGAAGTGCTGCGAGGGTTAAGTCAGACAAGCCAGTCCTCCCCGTCTTTTCTGTGAGAAGGCAGAAAACACAGTGGGCTCCTGGGCTGCGGTAGCTTACCCGGCTGCCCCATGCCGTTCAGCCGCACCATGAGGCGCCGCTGGTTCGGGGTGTACAGGTGGACGTCTGACAGCACAGTGTCGCTTCTGAAGGTGATCTCGTCCATGGCGGGCGCGGGAGCTGGTGACCATGGACGGCAGCACCTGAGGGGCGAGAGCAAGTCCTCAGACAGCAGGCCCCGGGGGGAGCGGTGTGAGTGACCCACCCTGCGGGCAGAGCGCTCCAGGTCACCCTGGAGAAAGGCTTCTCTTTTCAGTCCTCTCGTAATTCTGCAGGTGAACGTTTCAGAGCCCTGGTGAGATAATAAACAGGGCTGTTACTCTGTTTAGCACTGTGTTGACTTTCATAGTAAGTAACCTTTTATATGTGGCAAGGGATCCAAATTTCCATTTATACTGAAAACAGTTTTCCTACCCTTTTTATTTTTTCCAACCTTTTTGTTATGAAGAATTTCAAATACTAGCAAATTGAGGGCACAGTGTAATAAACAGCCATATACCCACTGCTTAGATTCAATGATCATGCACACTGTCGTACGTGATCAATCTATCTAGGTTTTTTTTCTCCCCTGAACTGCGCACCTTCCAGACATCATGACATTTTAACTCTAAATAATTCTTTAGCATCTGTCTCGTAAGAACATGCTCCTACATAACCAAAAGACCATTAGCAGACCTAAGATAACTAACAATTCCTTTATATCATTTAAAACCCAGTTCATGGTCAGTTTTCTCCATTAGTCACCCAATTTGTCTCTGGCCGCTAGTTCTTCTTAAAACAGTATTTAATCACAATTTACACGTCACATTGAGTAGTTTTTTCCCTATAATCTTCTCTCTTCCTAGAAATTGACTCCAGCTGCCCACATATCATTTGTTTTAAAATCTTCTTTTTAAACTTTAAAAAAAGTGAGTTGATTTAAAGCAAAATCAACTAAAGGAATCATTGTACAGGTGATATATAGGTTTTGAAGAATTATGAAGGTGACCCAACAACTAAAATTTGGAAAACCATGCTGGAGGCAAAGTGGCTAAAAACAGGAAGGCTTGGACTATGGAAGACAGTATGGAGATTCCTTAAAAAACTAGAAATAAAACCACCATATGATCCAGCAATCCCACTCCTAGGCATATACCCTTAGGAAACCAAAACTGAAAAAGACACACGTACCCCAATGTTCACTGCAGCACTATTTACAATAGCTAAAACATGCAGGTAACCTAGATGTCCAACGACAGATGAATGGATAAAGAAGCTGTGGTACATATATACAATGGAATACTACTCAGCCATAAAAATGAACACATTTGAGTCAGTTCTAATGAGGTGGATGAACCTAGAGCCTATTATTCAGTGAAGTAAGTCAGGAAAAAAAATATTATATGCTAATGCATATATATGGAATCTAGAAAGATGGTAGTGATGAAATTATTTGCAGGGCAGCAATGGAGACACAGACAAAGAGAAGAGACTTATGGACACGGGGAGGGGAGGAAGGAGAGGGTGGGATGTATAGAGAGCTAACATGGAAACATATTACCATATGTAAAACAGACAGCCAATGGGAATCTGCTGTATGATGCAGGGAACTCAAACTGGGGCTCGGGAACAACTTAGAGGAGTGGGGTGGGGAGGAAGGTGGGAGGGAGCTTCAAGAGGGAGGGGACATAAGTACACTTGTGGCTGATTCATGTTGATGTTTGGCAGAAACCAACATACACACACAAAAATAAACTATTCTAAAATGTGGGGAAAAGAAAACAAAACAGGAAGGCTTGGGACTTCCCTGGCAGTCCAGAGGTTAAGACTCTGCACTTCTAATGAAGGGGGTGAGTTTGATCCTTGGTCAGGGAACTAAGATCCCACAGGCCATTAGGCATGGCCAAAAAAAAAAAAAAGAAACAAAAACAGGAAGGCTCTTCCTCCATCAAATGTTCCACCTCATCAAAAAGCATCAGAGTAGCAACATGTGGACAGAGCCTAGGGCTGTGATGCTGGGCGGAGCAGGTGTTAAAGCTTGTCTCCAACCTCCTCACTGTGACCCTGAGAAAATCACTTCACCTCTCTGGACCAGTTTCTTCAGCTATATTCTCAGCTTGCAGGGTTGGGGGCAGCAGGATGTGGAGGGTGTGTGTCATGCACTGAGCAGAGTCCTTGGTACACAGCAACTGTAAATAAACCCGACAATTTTCTTGTCATGGGGTTGGTTTCAGGTGTTTGACACAAACCTGCCACAATCCCTGATCCCCTAACAGGAACCACTCCTATCTGGGTAGATGTGTGCACTAGCAGTGTGCCCCACGAATATCATGAAACCTCTTGGGCCTCCATTCCTTCAATTGGAAAATGGGATCGTCATAAGCCACCACGGTCTATAATCTGAGTCCACATAACTGGAGTTCCTACATTTAAGCACTTGCCACGGGGAAGCAAAAGTACCAACACAAACGTTTACTGTAAAAGAGTTACTCCACGCTGGCTTTTGTATCTGACGCGATAAACCTGCACAAAGTTAGTGGGTTGTGAGGTGAAGCTGTGAATCTGATAAATGGATGCAAGATTTCATGGTGTAGAAAGTGATGGAGGAGAAATGCTGGGGGTGGGCGGGTGGGGAGGGTTGTTGCCTCACAGGCAAAAGCCCTCAAACAATGAGGACTGGAAAAATTAGGATGGATCCATGAAGAGGATCCACTCTAAACACAGTGTAGGCCAACCATGACCAATCATTTTAAAGGCAAATTTGGCTCCCTGAGGACTAAAAGATGTAACACTGCACTTATACATCAATACTTTTAAATATAGACAAAAAAATAAGCTCCTTTAATCTGCAGTTGAAATTTCTCCCGTCCAAGTGCCAGACAGACCCAACCCTGCTTAGCTTCTGAGATCAGACAAGATTGGGCACTTGCAGGTGGTACGATCTAGATTCCTTGAAATTTCTATTTTGAAAACCAACCTGCCCTGGCCTACCAGGAAACACACCCTACAATGAAGTACTAGGTAAAGGGGATTCCCTTTAAGGGGCTTTTCCTAGAACCAGATCTCTGGGAATTACGGGGACACCTTGGACCCGTCTCAGGGTCTACATGAGCATTAAACGAGACAATGATCACTTTCAGGGTTCAAGACATAGTAAGTGCTCAACTTCCCCGGTGCCTCAGCTGGTAAAGAACCTGCCTGCCAGTGCAGGAGAGGCAAGAGAGGAGGGTTTGATCCCTGGGTCAGGAAGATCCCCTAGAGAAGGGAATGGCTACCCACTCCAGTATTCTTGCCTGAAGAAATACAAGGACAGAGGAACCTGGCGGGGCTACAGTCCACGGGGTTGCAAAGAGTTAAGACAGGACTGAGTGACTCTCACTTTCACTTTCATCATTATAGCATTGATAAGAATAATTATTAAAGGATGTGCTGGAAGATGGGAAAAGGCAATAGTCAGTATCTCTACTTAGGAACAGCTGACTCATGGTCTTGGTCTGTGAATTCTGGGGTTAGATGGGCTTCAGTCCCCTCTCCTGATTGGGGAGGTGGGAAAGGACACCCCAATTGCAGATAGGACCTCCGCCCCCTCCTTCGTGCTGCAGATTCATCTCACAGGAGTTGCTGACAAGTGTCCTTGGTTCTTCTAGGCTATGGGGGCCAGACGCCGACGCTGTCATCCTAACCCTGTCAAGGGTGCCCGCTAAAAGCAGTTTGCCGGGATCTGGGGGGTTGGAACACCTGCCTGCCTCCCAGGCTCTCTCTCTGCCAGGTGTCACCTAGTCATCAACGACCGGGAACTGGGCGCGATTCCGGAGCCGAGGCCCAGGGCCGGGGAGCTGAGACTTGGCCCCGGTCACGGCGCGGGTCAGAGTCAGGGGCTCCAGGGTCCTTGGTCGCTAGGGCTCTTCGTTTCCCTCTGTCACGCCGCCTCTGAGGACTCCAGCTGGCGGGCTACGCATGCCCTCTCAACCAGGAGTCACAGCTGGGGCATCGTCGTCCCTTCCTAATCCGAAACCCAGGGGGCTGCTTGGACCCCAGACGGAAACCCACAGGCAGGCAGGGACTCCTCCCCCCCAACATCCTCGCTTAGGGAAACTGAGGCTGAGTGGCTTAGGTTTCAAGTCCGTGGGGGAGCTCGCGCTTCAAGGCCAGGTTCGGTGCCGGAAGGCCACCTGCATCGTTCCCCTTGCCGGCGCTCCTCCAAAGGGCTTACCCGCCGCCTGCCGCAACCCGAAGTGCCCGCAGAGGGTCTCACCACTGCGCTCAGGCGGCCGCCATGGCGGGGCGGCCTGCGCAGGCGCGGCCCCACCCTCGGCGCGTACGATTTCCTTGCGTCGCTTCGTGGCCACGCCCACCTGCCGAATCGTGCTTGGGCGCCAGGGTTGCTGTCAGGGGCAGCCCGGAAGAAGCTCGTTTCTCGCCTGCAGAGGTTTGCTCTCACCTGCCCGGGTTTGGCGAGATGGTGGCTGGCCTGGGTTGGATGCGAGTGAGGGAGCCGCGACATAACTCGCTCAAGGTCACCCAGCTAAGTGGCGAGGCTTGGATTCGAACCGGCGAATACGGCTCTAGAGCCTGCGCTGTTAACCTAGAACTGCTGCTAAGTCGCTACAGTTGTGTCCGACTCTGTGCGACCCCATAGACCGCAGCCCACCAGGCTCCTCTGTCCCTGGGATTCTCCAGGCAAGAATACTGGAGTGGGTTGCCATTTCCTTCTCCAATGCAAGCATGCATGCTAAGTCGCTTCAGTCGTGTCCTATTCTGTGCGACCCCATAGATGGCAGCCCACCAGGCTCCTCTGTCCGCAGGATTCTCTAGGCAAGAAACCTATGCTAGGTATTTGTTAATGATTGTTATCCTGCTGTTCAGTTCAGTTCAGTCACTCAGTCGTGTCCAACTCTTTGCGACCCCATGGACTGCAGCACGCCAGGCCTCCTTGTCCATCACCAACTCCCGGAGTTTACCCAAACTCATGTCCATTGAGTCTGTGATGCCATCCAACCATCTCATTCTCTGTCGTCCCCTTCTCCTCTCACCTTCGATCTTTGCCAGCATCAGCGTCTTTTCAAATAAGTCAGTTCTTCACATCAGGTGGCCAAAGTATTGGAGTTTCAGCTTCAGCATCAGTCCTTCCAATGAATATTCAGGACTGATTTCCTTTAGGATGGACTGGTTAGATATCCTTGCAGTCCAAGGGACACTGAAGAGTTTTCCCCAACACCACAGTTCAAAAGCATCAATTCTTCGGCACTCAGCTAGCCCAACTCTCATATCCATACATGACTACTGGAAAAATCATAGCTTTGACTAGACGGACCTTTGTTGGCAAAGTAATGTCTCTGCTTTTTAATATGCTGTCTAGGTTGGTCATAACTTTTCTTCCAAGGAGCAAGCATCTTTTAATTTCATGGATGCAGTCACCATCTGCAATGATTTTGGAGCCCCCCCAAAATGAAGTCTCTCACTGTTTCTATTGTTTCCCCATCTATTTGCCATGAGGTGATGGGACCAGATGCCATGATCTTAGTTTTCTGAATGTTGAGTTTTAAGCCAACTTTTTCACTCTCCTCTTTCACTTTGATCAAGAGGCTCCTTAGTTCTTCTTCGCTTTCTGCCATAAGTGTGGTGTCATCTTGCTTTTAATACCCATTAATATAATAGCTGGTACTCATTTCATTCATTCATCCACTCATCAAATCTCCAACATCAGGTGAATTAAGAACCTCCATGTTAATTGGCATTTAGTAGGAAATGAAATCTGATACAGCCGTTGTATATCGAGTAAATTTCCAAGCACATAGGACTGCAGATGTAAAGAGTGCACACATGCGTAATTCATGGGCTTCCCCTGTGTCTCAGATGGTAAAGAGTCTGCCTGAAATTCAGGAGACCTGGGTTCCATCCCTGGGTGGGGAAGGTCTCCTGAAAAAGGGCATGGCAACCCACCCCAGTATTCTTGCTTGGGAAATCCCAGGGAGAGAGGAGCCTGGCGGACTACAGTCCATGGTGTTGCAAAGAGTTGGACACGACTGAGCAAGTAACACTTTTACTTCACTTACAGAGCATTAACATAAGTTTTATGGATAAAACTGGGCGCGGCATCAATGGGGTGACTAAGCAACATAAATAAATATTCTCAAGGGAAACAGATTGTTTCCTGAACTCCCTGGGACAGTACACAGAGAGTTGTCTGTGCATCTTGGGACCTCGTTCTAGTGTTGTTTGGGTTCTCAGGGAGTGTCTGGGTGCTAGAAGGTCACTGAGGAAGATGGTGTAGACACCTCTGGAATTGTTTTATTTAAAAACTTGTGAGAATAGAGCAGGCAGAAAGTAGAAGTGTTAGCCACTCGGTCATGTTCCACTCTCTGTGACCCCATGGACTGGGTAGCCCTCCAGACTCCTCTGTCCATGGGGATTCTCCAAGCAAGAAAACTGGAGTGGCTTGCCGTTCCCTTCTCCAGGGGATCTTCCCAACTGAGGGATTGAACCCGGGTCTCCTGCATTGCAAGTGGATTCTTTACCACCTGAGCCACCGGGAAGCCCCCAAAGCAGGCAGAGTAATCTTCTAAAAACAAAAGTCAGATCACATCAGTCTTCTGTTCAAACCCCTGGAGGCCCCTACCTTGGGCAGGAAGGGAGGCCAGGATTCTCGAAGTCATCCATTTCCCATCTCACACCCAACTCTGCTCCCTTCCAGCCACCCTGATCAGTCTTGTTCCCTTTCAAGTGCTTTGCACTGTTCTGCTCACTGAGGGTACATCTCCTCAGGACACCCATCTGCCCTGCCCCACTCCCTCACCTCCTTTGGGCTTGTGATCAGCCATCCTCTTCTCAGCGAGATCTTCCCTGACCATCCTGTTTAAAATAACCATTTCTCCCCACCCAGGCACTCCTGGCACATTGGAGCTGCTCAGAAAGTTCAATTTGTCGAACCAAAGAGAGAAAGAAAGAGGGATGGGATGTGTTAGGGAGCTGGAGAGCTGCTGGGGGTCTGGGTCCCTCACTGTGATGTTGAGGGAATTCCCATCACTGCAGGATTCCTAACAATCCTCAGGGTCAAGTTCAAACTTTTCTATCTGGACCCTGTTAACCTTTGTGCCCCGAGGCATGGACAGTATCTATTCTCATCTTTTCCCATAGTTGTATAAGATTTTGCTGGGCACATGCCTCTCCGTCAGTTTTTTTGTGTGTAATTTTTTTCTTCTCATCCTTTTTTTTTGGCCACGCCAGGCTGCATGTGGGACCTTAGTCCCCCAACCAGGGATTGAACCTATGCCCCCTGCATAGGTCCCTGGAAGTGTGGAGTCTTAACCACTAGCACCACCAGGAAAGTCCTCTAAATTAAAAACTATTTCCCAGCCTCCCTTGCAGTAGAGTGAAGTCATGGGGTTAAACCAATGGGATTAAGGCAGTGGAATGTAAGGGGAAGTGTTACAGAGCAGTTATTGGGACCATTCCTTAAGCAGGAAGCTGGGAAGACCTTGGCCCCTGATACTTTGTCCCTTCCTCATTCTTGAAGCCCAAAAGAGATCTGCCCTGAGGGCCCTACACTAAGTTATGGCAGAGCGGCAACCCTGCTTGTGGGTCACCTCTTTCAGAGAGACTTCCCTGATTCCTCCTCCTCCGGTTCATGTTGATGAGTTTCTGGGCCTGTCCAGTCCCCTCCGCTCTCCCCTTCAGAGCGCTTGTGACTCCCCCACCAGGTTGTGAGTGCCTTGAAGGCAGGAGCAGCTGCTAGTTTTCATCAGCAACTCATATTGAATTTGTCCATATCTGCAAGGGAAAAATTGGATGATGCTTGTAAAGCAGTTAGCATCATCCTTGGCACATTGTGAGCACTCAAGATATAGCCACAGTACTTTTAGACTATTACAGTTGATCCTTGAACAACATGGGTTTGAACTGTGCATCATACATCAACTTATAGAAACATTTTTTTTCACTTAATAAGTACTGTGGTATGACACAATCCATGGTTGTTTCAATCTGCAAACTGTAAAGTTATATTTGAATTTTTGATTGTGAGGAAGATTGGTTCCCCCCAACCCCTGCATTGTATGAAGGTCTACTATATTATTTCTTATATTGTCTGTAGTTCATTCAGGCGGTAAACATGCCAGACACCTTAAGGGGGCAGGTGAGACCCTTTGGTGAATAGGTTCAGCTTGATTGATTGTTCACCATCCAGCCAGGCCCTGCAAATGGAAATGTATTAATATTTATGGGTGCTGTAACAAGTTTTCACAAATTTAGTGGCTTAAAACAAAATGTATTTATTTTTTCACAGTCCTGGAGGCCAGAAGTCCAAAATCAAGGTGTCAGTAGGGCTGAGTTCTCCCTGAAGTCTTTCGGGAAGAATCATCTGTGTTAGCTTGAACTGCCGGAACAAAATAGCATAGACTGAGTGGCTTAAACAAAAGAAATCTGTTTTCTAACAGCTCTGGAGGCCAGAAGTCCAAGACGAAGGTGCCAGTATGGCTGGGTTCTGGTGAGAAATCTCCCCTTGGGTTGCAGACAGCAACCTGTTCACTGTGTCCTCATATGACTTCTTCTCTGAGTGTGTGAGGAGAGAGAAAGGGGGAAAGCTCTGTGGTGTCTCTCTTCTTCTGTTTTTTTTTTTTTGATGTGGACCATTTTTATCTGTGTTATGTTTGGGGTTTTTGGCCACAAGGCATGTTTCATCTTAGCTCCCCAACCGAGGATTGAACCCAAAACCCCCTGCCTTGGAAGGTGAAGTCTTAACCACTGGACCACTGGGGAAGTCCTGCTGTCTCTTCTTATAAGGACACTAATCCTATGAAATCAGGGCCCCATCCTTATAATCTCATTTAACCTTAATTACCTCCTTAGAGGCCCCATCTCCCAATACAGCCATGTTGGGGGCTAGAGCTTCCACATATGAATCTGGTGGGGACACATTCAGTCCATAATGCCTTTTTTGCCTCTCTCCCAGCTTCTGGTGACTCCTGGTGACCCCTGACTTGCAGATGCAATCACACGGTTTCTTCCATCTTCATATGGCCATATTCCCCATGTGTCTATTCTACATCCTTTCTTCTGAGGACACCAGTTGTTGGATCAGGACCTCCTAATTCATTAGGGGGCTTCCCTGGTGGCTCAGTGGCAAAGAACCCACCTGTCAGTGCAGGAGACATGGGTTCAATCTCTGGGTTGGGACAATCCCCTGGAGAAGGAAATGGCAACCCACTCCAGTATTTTTGCCTGGAGAATCCCATGGATAGAGGAGTCTGGCGGTCTACCATCCATGGGGTCACAAAGAGTCAGACAGGACTGAGCAACTAAACAACAACAATGAAATTCAGTGTGACCTCTTAATTACTTGCTCACCCTTCAAAGACGCTATTAACAAATAAGGTCACATTCACAGGTTTGGGGTTAGGACTTGAACATATTTTTGAGCGGGGGGCAGGGGACATAATTTGACTCCCAGTGGGAAATGTCTTGGAAAGGATGGTTGAAGACCTTGTTTTTCAGCTCCCAGCTGTGAG